GCAGCAGCAGACGGTACTACAGCAGCAGCAGCAGACGGTACTACAGCAGCAGCAGCAGCAGCAGCAGCAGCAGCTGACGGTGGTACAACAGCAGCAGCAGCTGACAGTGCTACAGCAGCAGCAGACGATGCTACAGCAGCAGCAGACGGTACTACAGCAGCAGCAGATGGTACTACAGCAGCAGCAGCTGACGGTGGTACAACAGCAGCAGCAGCTGACAGTGCTACAGCAGCAGCAGACGATGCTACAGCAGCAGCAGACGATGCTACAGCAGCAGCAGCAGCAGCAGCAAACGGTACTACAGCAGCAGCAGCAGCTGACGGTGGTACAACAGCAGCAGCAGCTGACAGTGCTACAGCAGCAGCAGACAATGCTACAGCAGCAGCAGACGATGCTACAGCAGCAGCGGACGGTACTACAGCAGCAGCAGCAGCAGCAGCTGACGGTGGTACAGCAGCAGCAGCAGCAGCAGCTGACAGTGCAGCAGCAGCTGACAGTGGTACAGCAGCAGCAGCAGCTGTACCACCAATAGTAGCGATGGTTGATTGGGGTTTATTATACAACCTGGCCAGCTCGGAGACACGCACTCCACTTTCATACTTATCAATGATCTTTTTCTTCATCTCTATAGTAATTCTCACCCTTATTGCTGTAGGGTTGGCACTAGAAGCTTTCTTGGGGCCCATGGTCACTTATTTTGCAGATAAAATCACCAAAAAGACTAATAATACGAAATGTTCCGATTGTATGCTTGGATGTTACTGCAGAGGCTGGCTGGTAAACAATGCCACCGGCGGAACATGTGAGCATGGCTCAGGCCGCACATAGATGCGTCTCAGACGAACAGCGTTGAGTGGGTTTTTTAGCGGTATGCGAGGCAAAATCTTGGCGATAAAATGTAGTGGTATGAGGATTTAACGTTATGTAAGGCCAACGGTATGCGGGGGTCCACTGTATTATTATTATTATGAGAAAGAGAGATATAGATAGAGATAGATACAGATAGAGAGATGGAGCAATAGATAGATAGATAGACAGATAGATAGATAGACAGATAGACAGATAGACAGACAGATAGACAGATAGATAGATAGAGAGGAGGGGGGGCAACAGGCGTAGAGTTATGCAAACAAACCAGGCGGACGTATCTGGTTTGTGTACAAGTTCCATTGTGTACACATTGTCTCCACGCTGATACAGTAAAATAAATAAAGAGCAACACTCCCATTCTCAAGTAACACCAATTTTAGAAGAAATGATGTTCTGAATGAAGGCATATGAAAGGAATAATTTTCTACAGTTACCCCCAGTAATATTATAGTGTACACATTTTCTCTGACGTTGGACTAAAGAAAACGTTATTCTTGCCATCACTCGTACAAGTTGTCTGGCTACCACATCTCATATTTATGTTAATTTATTCTACTGTGGGGTGTATTTATCATGTATATATATTATGTATTGTGTTTATATAATTTTGAAAAAAATATCAAAGAGGGATTAATAAAAATATAATAATATACGACATTTAATGAGACTTGGTGATTATTATTGAGCATTATTATTATTAATATGGCGTCTCGAGACATAAGACACTCTTACTCATTTTAATGTATACTTGCATGCCAGCACAGTGTGTAAGTTTATTTAGGTACAGGTATACATAAGTATAATTATCAGAGTACAGTGGACCCTCATTTTTTGTAAGCATTGGAAGTCGTAATTTTCGAAAATTGTAACTTTTTTTCATCTAAATATTGACTCGCAAATCGTCGTTTGACTCGTCCCAGATGCGTACACACAGCCCCGAGCAGCCCCACACTCCATTCACAACCAGTGTGCCATTGTTTATCAGCGAGTGAGGACGATCCTATGCATTCATATGATACATTTCATAATATTCCATTCGTTTTAGTACTTGCAACTGCTAAATAAGCCACCATGGATCCAAAGAAAGCTCCTAGTGCCAGGCGTTTGGTAAAGAAGGTGAAAAATACGATAGAATTCAAGAAAGAACTCGTAGCAAAGTACCAAAGTGGAGGAGGAAGAGAGAGGGGAGAATGTACCTTCTTCAGTGATTCTACGATATGTACGATATTAAAGCAGCATTCAATTCAATTCAAGTTTATTCTCTATAAGGGTTACAATGTGGGGTTTACAGGTTTTGGGTATTGTGTGGTTTACATGTTATAAAATACTAATTACAGAGGGGGCCACTAGGACACCTAGCATGGCTAGGAATTTTGAGCAGACTTAGATTAAATCTTAACATTAAATCCTTACAGATTATGGTATTAAGGCTAAGTGACTACATCATAATTTGTGAGTTTAGCAATGTGAATGCTTTTGTTTTGGCACAATACAAGGTGTCTATATTGGACTATCATAGGCAAACTTACGACTAGTTAGGATTTATTATTTTAAGATTAGTATTTCTGGGTTTATAGTCAGTGGGTGAGTGAGTGTAATTGTGAACCACCAGGTGGTTATCATGTAGTTAGTTGTCGGGGTGGATCAGGGAGATAAGATGTTTTCTAACTGTAGCTTTGAAAGTGATGAATGTGTCTGCAGTTCTAGAGTTTTCAGGTAGGGTGTTCCAGACTTTAGGTCCTTTGAAATACATTGAATTTTTGTAAAGGTTTAGTTGAACACGGGGAATGTCATAGAGATGTTTGTGTCTGGTGTTATGCCTGTGGATCCTGTCACAAATGACAAGAAAGCATATTAGGTCAAGGTTAATATTGGAATTTAAGGTCCTGTAGATATAGATTGCACAGTAGTAAGGGTGGATGAGTCAATAAAGGCTATAGCGCCAGCCAGCGATAAAGTGTAGCATTAACAGTGTAGCAAGTTAAGCGATTAATCGATAGAAAAAGGACAGCATGAACCTAACTCCTCCAATGTTGTTGGAGTTATATAGGGCTATGAGAACACTGCTGCCTCCACCATCATGTACAGCTTATGTTCTCAGTGGCCCTTATAGACCCAACAACAAAACACAACACCACTCATGACATACGTAATGACTTTTTTTTCATTCTAGAGTATATGTCGTGTTTCTATGTTATTAATATTGTTTATTATGTCATATTAGATGAATTGTAATAGATAAATAAGCCGTTGATATTAGTGTCATATTGAAGGACTATATTGTCCTGCCTCCAAACACACTCCCCTGCTGCTGCCACAACTCCGAACATATGTAATGACATATTTTATTCCTACAGCAACAAGAGTCTTCAATAAAGGTAAATGTGATGTTATTATTGTTTTATTCATGTCTTATTGTTTCCTGTGTATGTAAATCTACATTTCATGTAAAAAAATATTTTTTGTTAATACTTTTGGTCATTTAGAGAGAATGGATCAAAGTAGAATGACATGGAGAGCGTATAAATCTGTAGGGAAGGAAGGCGGGGTAGGAGTCGTCCTCGAAAGGGTTGGAGGAAGGGGGTAAAGGAGGTTTTGTGGGCCAGGGGCTTAGACTTCCAGCAAGCGTGCATGAGCGTGTTAGATAGGAATGAATAGAAACGAATGGTATTTGGGACCTGATGAGCTGTTAGTGTGAGAGCAGGGTAATAATTAGTGAAGGGATTCAAGGAAACCGGTTATTTTATATAGCCGGACTTGAATCCTGGAAATGGGAAGTACAATGCCTGCACTTTAACCCTTAAACTGTCCAAATGTAGATCTACGTTTTTTCAACATTTGAAAGTATGTAAAAAAATGTAGATTTTTTTTTATATTTGAAAATGTGTAAAAAAAACTATCTACTTTTTTTTTTGTTATATTTGAAAATATGTAAAAAAAAAAAGTAGATCTACTTTTGGAGCACTACGCATGTGAACGTAGATCTATTTGGACAGTTTAAGGGTTAAAGGAGGGGTTTGGGATATTGGCAGTTTGGAGGGATATGTTGTGTATCTTTATACATATATGCTTCTAAACTGTTGTATTCTGAGCACCTCTGCAAAAACAGTGATTATGTGTGAGGTGAAAGTGTTGAATGATGATGAAAGTATTTTCTTTTTGGGGATTTTCTTTCTTTTTGGGTCACCCGGTGGGAGACGGCCAACTTAAAAAAAAAAAAAAAAAAAAAGGTCTGAAACAGATTAATTGAATTTACATTATTTCTCATGGGGAAAATGGTTTCGCAAATCTTCAATTTCGCCATTAGGCACACTACCTGGAATGAATTAAGAAAAATGAGGGTCCAATGTATACATAAAATATGAAATAACTTTTAAAAACACTTGAAATTTTGGAAAGTTTCCAGACATAATGGAGAGACGGGGTGCTCAGGGAGAATGTAAACAAACCGGGTGGAGTGCAGTGACCGTATTAGAAAGTCAGGTGGGGGGAGCTGTATAGCGAGTTTTGGTCATATTTCGAAATGTCCGTATTAGCGGAATGCCATAAACCAGAATGCCATAAAGCGGGGCCCTGCTGTAACTGTTTTGTTAGAAGAGCCTCCCTACCCCTCCCTCAGAGTGCAGGCACTGTAATTCTCACCTCCAGAACTTAATTTGGGCTAACCAGTTTCCCTGAATCCCTTCATGTTATCTTGTTCACACCCCAACAGCACATCTAATCATCTTGTCTCCAATTTGATCTAACATACACACAACTGCAGGATGCTCAAGCTCCTCCCACTTAAAACCACCTTTACACCCTCCCACTAACCCTTGTAAATCTAACACCTACAGGGAAAAAAATGCAAAATGTCCCTAAATAAACAAATTAATTAAAATATTTTTCATCATCAGAACACAAATACTCTACTTTGAACTCCTACAGGTTTGGCATTTCCCTATGAATACATAATAAACAAAATCAGTAGCTCTAAACTTCTGTTTCTATGGGAGAGGTAAAAAGTTTAACTGTCTAATTCTTATAGTGTACACATATTTACATCTACTGTATCACATCACTAACGTCTATTGCTAGATTTGAACCCCACCTAAACTCAAACAGGCAGTGACATTACTGTTATTACTCACTCGGGTCTTTGCTGGTAGCCGGGTCTACAGGAGCAGTAGAATGACCCAAGGGTATTAAAGCAATCATGCTGGCATGGTGTACTAAGGCATTCATCTATGTCCAGACAGGTATAAGAGTCTGCTGCAACCTGATAACCTGCAGGGCACCTGTAAAGTTTGCATAACTCAAATTATTATTGACATTAATAATAATAAATATATATTTTTTCACAGTGGTTATTTTGCATGTTGTGGTATCACCTGCTTACTGTGTTCTTTTTGCATGCATGCATCATTCACTCTATCACCATCTTGCCAGAGGCACACTGATACTACAGTTCAGATACCCCTCTACACTGCAAATATCCTCACCCCTCCTTCAGAGTGTAGGAACTATACTTCCCACCTCCAAGACTCAAGTCCTGTACTACCATATTTACGAACTTCTACACAGATGTATGGATAACACCTATATGTATGCCTTCCCTGATATGAATTTTGGTAGTCTGCTTCACCATTTTATTAGTAGCAACCAACCAAGGCTAGTTGAAAAATACCCAAAACCAGACTAGTCTGTATGGGCATTGACCCCCAAAACCTCCTCCAGGTAAACCAGTAAACTCATTTTGTAACATGGCACAACCATATGACCAAAGGAGTATGCAATTCCTCTCCTTGTAAATTATTTAACCCTGAAATGTGTTATTCTTCAGCCCATCAAAGACAATGTTACAACACATACTGGCACACACACCATTTAAAAGGGACAAGAAGGTATAGATTGCACTGATCTTGGGAAACAAACCAGGTAGTTACAACCACTCCAGAGAAAGGTTTTTTAGCGCCAGGAAGAAAAGGAAACTGGTAGGTAATGACAAATACTACACCACCTCAGATCACTACTGGAGTGAAGGCACAGCGAGTGATCTCCACTCTAGAACAACAGATATTAGTGCCAGTATAAAAAGCCCCCTTACATACCATCCATACGACATTTATTTTTGCAAATATATAGGGTCTAAAGCCATCAACAAACAACAAAATACATCTCATCAGTGGACTGATCACAGAGTCAAATGCAATGTTTATTTATTTATTTATTTATTTATTTAATGTCTTTGCAAACAGTACATTGAGATTGTGTATATACAATAGTGGGTTGCAATGCAAAGAGAGCCTCTAATTATGCCTTGGCATTATGGGCCAACTTAACATTATTGGCTTACATTCTACTTAATACTAAGGAGTAGTATATCATAGTTGTACAGTAGGAAAATAATTATTTCATAGTTGTACAGTAGAATATTAATTATAAATGAATCAAAATTTGTATAATACAAAGATATATTTATATTCTAAAATGCTTTTGTGAAAAACAATGATTCAATTATATTCCTGTCAACAATGGATAAAGCTTCAATGTGATTGTTTCAGTTATGATGTGGGAGTACATAGGTGAGTATTTAGCATTTAGTCTAGGGTGATTAAGTGGCTTTTGAGAAGAGTCTTAAATTGATTTTCAGACTGGGTTACTTTAATATCTTCTGGTAATGAATTCCATATTTTGGGGCCCTGTATGTGCATAGAGTTTTTACACAGTGTGATATGGACACGAGGTATATCAAAAAGAGATCTGTGTCTTGTGTTGTGGTCATGTGTCCTATTTAGGTTGGTGAGGAAAAGTTTGAGTGGGGGTTTATATTTGCGTGTATTGTTCTGTGAATGTAGTAGGCACATGAATAAGTATGGATGTTCTTAATGGTAAGCAGAATCAGACTTTTGAAAATTGGTGGAGTATACTGGCGGGAGTGGGAATTTGTTATCATTCTTACTGCTGCCTTTTGCTGGGTTATTAGGGGTTTTAGGTGATTGGATGTTGTTGATCCCCCATGCACAAATTCCATATGTAAGATAAGGGTATACGAGTGAATGGTACAGTGCCAGGAGAGCTGATTGTGGAACGTAGTACCTTATCTTTGATAGTATGCCTACAGTCTTGGAGATTTTCTTGGTGATTTGTTGTATGTGTGTCCGGAACTTAAGGTTACTGTCAAGGTGGATACCTAGGAATTTTCCCTCTGTGAGTCTTGTGACTAATGATCCATTTAGCATAATGTTAATTGGATCATTTGCAGCTTTGTTTCCAAAATGAATGAAATAGGTTTTATCAGTGTTCAGGGTAAGTTTGTTAGTCATCATCCAGGCAGATATTTTCTGTAATTCAGCATTGACTGTGTTTGCTAGTATGACTGCATTTGGGTGGGAAAATACACATGTAGTGTCATCTGCAAATAATATGGGTTTGAGTAGCTGTGATGCATTCGGTAGATCATTGATGTTGATGAGAAAGAGGAGTGGTCCAAAGACGCTTCCTTTTGGGACTCCTACTGTGATTGGTTGGGTGGAGGAGTTTGCATCATTTGCATACACATATTGAGTTCTGTTACTAAGGTATGACTTTAGGTAGTTGAGGGAGTGGCCTCTGATACCATAGTGCATTAATTTGGAGTATAGTAGTTCATGGTCGACTGTATCAAAAGCTTTACATAAATCAATGAAAATGCCCAGCGGGACTTCTTTCTTTTCAAGTGCAGTATATATTAGTTCTAGCATGTGTATGATAACATCATTTGTGCTTTTATTATTCCTGAATCCAAACTGACAAGGGTTTAATATGTTGTGTGAAATGAGGTAGGAATAGATCCGTCTGTGAATTAATTTTTCAAAGATTTTTGAGAGCAGTGGTAAGTTAGATATTGGTATGTAGTTATTCAAGTCAGCTTGGTCACCTCCTTTATGGATCGGAGTGACCCTCACTATTTTGAGGATTGTTGGGAAGGTAGACGATTCAATGGATTTGTTAAAGAGCATTGCAATAATTAGTGACAATACTTGAGAAGATTTTTTGTAAATAAAAGCAGGCAAGTTGTTTATGTCTCTTGCCTTATTTTTAAGGGTGTTTATGATGAGCATAACTTCAGTGGGGTTGGTTGGAGCTAGGAATAGCGTATTTGGGTAGGTTCCTATGAGGTAGTCTGATGGACAGGCGTTTGTGCTTGGTATTTTGTTTGCTAGATTTTTTCCTATGGTGGAGAAGAAAACATTAAGTCTGTTTGCTGTTTCGGTTGGAGTGAGTAGGGGTTCATCTGATTTTGTTAGTTTGATTGCTTTGTTTTTGGATAACTTTCTAGTTCCAATTATTATTATTATAATCAAAAAGAAGCGCTAAACCACAAGGGCTATACAGCGCTGCAGGGTAGGGAAGGAAGCGAGGGCATTGGATGGCAGAAGGGAGGAGGGATGATCAGCAGGTTACAGAAAACAGCGGGGCAGGGGATATACGGGGGGTAGAGGGTAGCAAGAGATTGAAAGTAGAAAAGGGCTCCTGAAGGTTCAGAATTTGTGAGTAAGTCATTTGTTGTCAGAAAAGTCAATGCGAGAGTCCGATGGAAAGGTGGGGTCCATCAGCGGAGAAGGGGAAGGTGAAGAAAGAGTCGCGGGAGTCGAAGACGGACGACAGAGGTAAATTCTGCGTGCTCGTTGATAAAGTGGGCAGTCCAACAGAATGTGCCTGACTGATAATGGACCTTGGCAATTCTCACAGAGAGGAGCAGGACGCCTCTCCATGAGATATCCATGAGCAGCGGCAGCGGCAACAGGAACCTTGTCCTCTAATTTTACTTCTACCTGAGGTTCCTGCAGCCCAGTGATGACCTAATTCAAGACCCGCATAACACTTATCATGTGTGGATACCAGAAATGGATATAAAGCAACTGCAGAAAGAAATCACCCAAAGTTCACAATATTTACTCAATATAGGACTCGTTCTAGCAACTCTACCCCGCTGCCACTGAAGTGATACTCCACACATTCACCCATACCACCCATCGCCTACTATTCACCGAAGCCCAGCCAAAGGACAAGGGATCAGAAACAATAAAAGAAGATCCAGTAACCCAGCTAAGGACTCCTCACATCAAAGGTGAGAGCAAGTAATAACACGAGGAAATTGTAGAGTATGCAGCCAGGACAAAACCCCTCATCACCCACGGACATCACACACACATCGGACAGACAACAACAAAACATGGCCGCAGCTACATTCCAAGATAATACTCCTTCCCAGTATTGATGTCAAAGAAGATACACCAACCCAGACATAGCTAAACTCCTGATGATTCAGAAACAAATGTCACCAAACTAACTCAAAGATTGGCAGGTATAAAGGCTTAGCAATGCAGATTACTCAACAGACTCACTGCTCTAGAACAGTAAAACTAGACCACTCTAGAACAACAATGCATCACCCACACCCGGTGTCCTAGACACCATCAGAACACTCTAAAAGACAAAAGTCACCCTCCTACTTCACTACCACATTACAGAGGACAAGATCAAGAGTGGCCAACAACTTGCCATTGATCATAACCAACTTCCAAAGACCTCATGACCAACAGCAGCTATCTGACGCTGTTGTAGTTAACATGCCAAAACATCTCCCAGCCATAGGCACCAAGGACCTGCATGGAGACCACCATACAGCTTATCAGGACCAACCTTCGCCTTAATATACGTAGTGACGACCTAAAAAGGATTGCAAATGATGGGTATCAAGCAGGTAAAAAGCATGTTCTGTTCAAAAATCCAAACTTGCTTACAAAGAAACTAACCTATAAAAAACATCTATTTCTATGAAAAATGAGGTTTACGTCAATGAGGTGCTTACCAAAACGAGACAAAACATTTCTTTATCGGCCTAAGGGAAAATTGCGCTTATGCCCAAATAATCCACCAGTGCTTTGTGGGGACGGAAAAAAAATAGCAGTTAGGAATACAGCCCACGGGAAGAAGAGATACTTAAATCTCCACAGAAATGACCTTAAAACATTTACCTACGTGAGGCTGGACTAACTGAATCAGAGTAAAGTGCAGATAATACCCACAGTTCCACCGTTTAGTATTTTGTATATGTCATAAATTTGTTGCCCCCCCTAAAATTCTAATACTCCAACTCACTTTTAATTGTCATTGTTGTATTCAACGGACCATTCTACCTCATAGTCTTAATTGTATTTTAACCCTTTTGACTGTTTCCGGGACGTATAAATACGTCTTACGAGCCACTGTTTCTGAGTATTTCTACGCCATAAATTCTAGCGCTTCAAAT